TTGCGTTCCATCCCTTTGATCATCTTTGTCACTTGCCTCTGGATTCTTTCCAGTTTCTCTACATCCTATCTAGTCACAGGTGACCAAAACTGGACCCAGGACTCCCCCTGAGGCCTAACCAATGCTGAGTAGAGCAGCACTATCACCACCTGTGATTTGCATGCTATGCTTCTGTTAATGCATTTGCTGCTTTTTTGCATCATCATCACACTGTTGACCTCATGTTGAGGGTGTGATCCACCACAACTCCCAGATCCTTCTCAGCGGTGCTGCTGCCATCCCAGTTACCCCCCATTCCGTATTTGTGCACTGGGTTTTTCTTCCCGAACTGTAGCACCGTACACTTGTCTTTGTTGAATTTCATTGTTGCCTATAGCCCAGTTCGCCAATTTATCACGATCCCTTTGAAGTTTTGCTCTATCCTCCAAAGTGTTGACAACAACCCCAGCTTTGTGTCATCTGCAAATTTGATCAGTATGCTCTCTGTTCTTACATCCAGGTCATTAATGAAGATGTAGCCTCTGTTTGTCAGAGGATGGAGATGGATGGCAGAAGAGAGATCACTTGATCATTGCCTGTTAGGTCCACTCCCTCTGGGGCACCTGGCATTGGCCACTGTCGGTAGACAGGATACTGGGCTAGATGGACCTTTGGTCTTACCCGATATGGCCGTTCTTATGTTAAATAACATTGGACCCAAAACAGATCCCTGTGAAACCCCATTTGAGAAATCCCTCCAATCTGACATCATTCCGTTAATAGTTACTCTTTGCTTGCGGTTGTGTAACCAATTATATATCCACTTAATGGAAGTTCCATTGAACCCGCATTTCTCCAGCTTACTCATGGGACTGTGTCAAAAGCCTTTCTGAAGTCCAGGTCTATTTTATCCACCAAACCAGTTACCCTATCAAAGAACAATATCAAGCTGGTTTGTCATGTTACGTTCTTAGTAAATCCATGCTGGCTGCTACTGATTACCCCTTCATCCTCCAGGTATTCGCAAATTGAATGTTTTATACATTGCTCTAGTACTCTTCCACCTGTCAGGGTGAGAAGGGTGACAGGAAAGATTCCAGAAGGATGTTTAGTTCCTGTCACATCATGATTTGCCCTGGCCCTTTCCCTGCACAAGATGTTTCTGACTTGCATGCTGGGAAAATATTCCATCACTTGATCACAGCCCAGACTCAACCCCTCCTAGTCTCCACTGGGCTGCAAGATTTTGGTCTCACTCCAGCTGTTGGGTTTAGTGGGTGGGTGCTGGGTGGTGTTTACAGCCAATGCTAGACAGGATATCAGACCAGATGATCCAATGGTACCTTCTGGCCTTAGACTTTATGACTCTATGACTGGATGTGGGCAAGTTTGGGAGCTTGTGACCTTCCCACCCAACACTTATTTCTCCTTCATTTTCTGTCTTCTCTTTCACCCTCTCCCCGGGAAACTTAGTGACCAATGATCCCTGGGTTCCTTTGCTCTGAATGCCAGTTTGGATCCAAACTTTCTGCCTCGTCCCCATCTCTACTAACCACCGAAGGGGTTTCAGTCTCGCTGACTGTGATACAGACAATGAAAGGGTTACTGTGCACAGCTGCAAACTGCCTAATTTCACAGCTGAAATAAGTAAGCAAGTACCACTTATTGGAAGTAAATTTTTTTCTGACCCCCGAATATTTACTTAAAAAGTAAGAATACAACATGTATCCGTGCTGAGTCTATATAGAACTTGTATATTTCAAGAGGCTGACAGAGAAAACTGGACCACAATGAACAGGGGAGTGCAGGAGTGAGATTTTCTTTGCTTTAGATCATAATGAAATGCTCAACATCTCACAGCCTCCTGACTGCCTTTCCTGAGGCCCCGTGGATCACAAACCACCAGCTGAGAAACAACAGCCTAGATCATTATTTTGTATCGTCATTGACTACCCATGGGAAGAGAGTGCTACATTGTACCCGGACAAAGCATGAATGAGCCAAGTGCAATGGCATGTATG